CAACTGGGCGTCAGGCAGAGAATAGCCTGCATTAATTTGAGCTCCTCTAACGAGGGCGACGGACGGCCTGACCGACTGGGACCTTGCATTTTGCTACAAGATATAGAGTCGCATTTGGTTAATATATTTTATTTGTGATTGTTTATGTTTAATGAATTAAAATATTATATATTTCTTTAAATATAACTTAAATCTATACATATAATAAAATTCTAAATAAGCCGAATCTGTACATTAATATTTTTTTAGAAAATCTTATTAAAATAAACATTATTTTCGATACAGTGGCGTTTTTAGAGTTTTTGTCCATTTGTCTGTCTGTTACCGCATCACAGAAAAACCACAGGCGGAATTTTGATGAAATTTGGTGTGATGGTAGTTGGTTATCCGGGTTAACATATAGGATAATTTTTACCGCGAGAAAATATCTTATTTCTGAGAAAAAATACAAAAACTGCAATGAAAGGGTATACTAATATGTAAAACCTAAGAATTTGGTTTTTGGTCATCTCAAGGCGGGCGGAGCCGCGGGCAATGCTAGTGTAATATAATTATCACTCTGCGTTACAATAATTAATTATAATCGTTATTAGTTAATTTTCTTACAAAATGTAATATTTATGTTTATTTTTTGATTAGATGTATAAGCTTTTTTAATAAAATGGATATTTGAAGATCTGGCGCCTCTACGGCTAATTTTGGTAACGTGTTCGAACCTCGACAATGACAAATATTCATTTTGAATTTATTCAAATAATTATCGTGATGTACGTATGTTTCACGGACCAAATTGATGATAAAAATTGTACAAACCTTTTCTGTAAAATTACTATGTTCTATGTTCAATCTTTCTATCTATACATATAATAAAATTCAAACTGAGTCGAATCTGTACATTAAATATTTTTTATAAATTCTCATTGAAATAGTCATTATTATCGATATAGAGACCAAATCTATAGTTTTTAGAATTTTTGTCTGTTTATCTGTCTGTCAGAGAACGTATCAGAAGAAAACCGATGGACGGATTATGATGAAATTTGGTATAACGATAGCTGGGTATCCGGGTGGATCAACGTATAGGATACTTTTTACTGCGGAAAAATATCTCATCTCTGAGAAATCCATAAAGTAAGTCGCTAGTTTATGAATAAAGTTGAAAGTTAAAATAAATATTGTAAGTGTAAAAGTTTCAAATGTCGCTTCTATACTATTCTTTGTGCTCTGATACGTCCGGCGTAGCAGTGGGCTACGCGTCCACTACGCTATGTTTATTGCAATCTGGCGGCTAAATGCTGCTGCTTACCCCGTGCTCAGCTTGCATTGCCCTCTTGCTATACAGAAATATAGATCCAGAATATTCTATTAGATCTTATTAGATCTTAATTAACTCAGAAACAACAGATTTAAGTCTAAATAGCTTATTTTGCTTAAATTTGTAATATTAAAAATATTATATTACTTTAAATATTAAAATAACAGAATAATATTTAAATGTCTAAGTTAATTATTAATTGACTAATTTTTTTCTGCTGCTTTACTCGTATTGTGAACTTTCTATATCTGATGTATAATGTAATCTAAGTCATTGCCAAATATTATCGAAATCTATTAAGCAGTATAAGCATGAAAAGGTAAATAAAGACACTTATTACCTTTATAATTTATACTAGCGACTCACTCTTGCTTCGCTCAGTTTCATTCCAAGGTACGTTTTGACGCTCAGTATGGAATGTTTTTTTGTGTGAATTTTTCCGATGTTTTAATAGTTATTCTGCTATTTGGGACGGAGAAAAATCCAACAAATCAAAGATCATAAAAATCGATCCAGCCATTCTTGAGTTATAAATGGTGTAACTAACCGACTTTATTTTATATATATTAATCTATAGATAGATTAATATGAAACTTTACATACTTGCTTTTTTATTATAATAATAAAACGCTATTTTTCTAGAAATTCTTCTAGTTTATATACGAGTACAAACATATATTTAGACGCAAGTCATTCTCTCCTTAAACAATAATATGCGATTAAAATTTAAGGTGGTATCGTTAAGCAAATCCATGACGTCTAAAAGTATTTCGGTACAACGAGAGGATAATACAATTTCTAATGGCTCACAGAATCTTGCCTCTGGTCAGCAAAGGGTTGTTGAACTATCCCTCGACCCTCGCAAACAATGCGCCCTCTGTGTGCACGGACTTAAATAAAAGGTTTGATTTTGTGTTGTAAGGGCGCTCCAATATTTGCGCAGCGGACCGACTGATCTGCATACCTTTATTATACTTTAGTAGCTTTGAGGTTGCCTCTGCTTTAAATTCACATTTTTTTCTCTATTTTTAGATTTTATTCGAGTTTTCTTGTGTTGGGGAATGGTTACATAGCTTTCTTTTAGTCGATTCTTTTTCTATGTATCACGAAAATTAATTGTGTTAATACTTGTATACAAATATGTCAGAAGATTTTTTTTTATTTTTTTTAACTGCATTCAAAATGATAAGATTATTGACATTGGAATTCCTTAATGTCTGTTACATAAGCCATTTCCCTTTAGATCCCATTAGGTTAGCCAGACTGTAGAAAATGTCAAAAATTACGATAATTACAAAGCTGTCTCTTATGCAATGTCATCATTATCATCCTAGCGTGTATGAAGAAATTATTTGTATGACCTACATTTGATCAACAATCATATACATACATTTCTCTTTTTACATTGTTATCCGTACTCTTTTAAACATAAGAAAATATGTTTAGTAAATAATCGATGAAAATGTTCCGACAATAAATTTCTCGAACTTGGTCTTTCTTAAATTCATATAATCTAAACTAATATTATAAATGCGAAAGTTTGTATGGATGTCTGGATGTATAAATGCATGCTTGTTACTCTTTCACGCAAAAACTACTGAATGGATTTTAATGAAACTTTACAATAATATAGCTCATATATCAGAATAACACATAGGCTAAATTTTACCCGAAAAAATTTACGGTTCCCGTGGGATAGACTTGTTTTTATTTTTCAAAATATACTCATACAGAAAAGGAAATAAGCATATATAAATATTGTATTATCATTTAAATTCATGAAATCAAAACGGAATATTATCAAATTATAATTCCGAGTATTCTAGATCTTGTATCTAGTGAAGTCTGAGTCAGGGTGCTTGTGAAAGTGACAGCTGCAGTGAACGGCACTAATGGCTATCAGGAGGTACATGACGCGAAATGAAATGGGTGAGATTTGACATAGAAGCCGGAAAATTATAAACTTTAATACAACGACATAGAGAAGGCTTTGCTAGGGTTAATCTAGCCCAGTTTCGACACGTAGAGAGAAGGGGTCCGAAATGGACTGTCTATGCCATCGTGAGATTCGTGTGAATCGCCCGCACGAAACTCGATATTTACGAGTGATTGTATTGTTTGTTGGTAATGTTATTATAATGATAATAATATTAAAGATTAGAATATTAAATATATACCAAAAATTTGTATATCTATACATTTTTATTACTTACTCTTCTAACTTTTCTTTTATACGAAATAAAAGATTTGGAAAAATCATAAAAAGATTGCAAAATGTACGTGTAAAATATTGCTCGGATATGATATGTAATTAAAAAAGTGAATAATCTTATTAGACTTAAATTTCTATACAAAATAATCCAAAGCTTTCCTTATTAAATCTGAAATTTGGGATCTAAAAGGCTAACCCTAGACTTCGTAATCAGAGAGAAGATAGTCGGCGTCCCGACGCGTAACTGGCTTCATTAAGTGGAGCCTGCCTGTCCCTTCCTATACTCGTCAAGCCACATTACCGATGAACTGTACCAATTAGACGAGTAGTTGGGGGGAAAAATAATTTTATAACTCTCAAACTAAAGTTACAGAAGTTCCATTTAATTTAAAGCTTGAACGCTTTAAATGTAATTTGCTATGGACTTATTATAATCACTTTATAACTAAAAAGTTACGACTTTAAAATTAAGCACTTATGTGGGTAAGAAGTGTGTGTGTGTATAATATAATCCATATTGCAATTTTTTTTACTTATATGGATCACCATGAAGTTGAGGTAAAACGTTTTTAATTAAATATGAGAATTTATAAACATCGGATCGTAGTTTTGTAGACGGTCAGAATTAAATAAACTTTTTAAAAATTTTACACAAATAGGTACCTATTATTAGCATTTAATGTTTTATATTATTGTTAAAACATAATTTTTGTATTTGTAATACGTATACTCTTGTTAGGTTAGGTTATTATTGTTGGTATTTGTACCTACTAGTCGTAGGTATGTGTTGATTTTGGTTTATTTCTACTTATTGCATTTTCTATTTTAACTATAAATTATCTTAAAGAAATTTACTTTTTTATTATAAAAAAATATTCTGCTTTAATTCTACTAAAAATTCGCATCGTTCGTATCAATTCAGTATCATATTTGTTCACATTGTTAATTTATTTTAATATAAGGTACAAGGTATAAAAGGTACATAAAACACTGAAGGTAGCAAAATATAAGATTTAAAAACAAATCCTGTGAAGTGAGTAATTTGTGATATTTATTACTAAAACCAAGCTTGGAAAAATAATTGATCACAAAATAGCCAATCGTGAAAACAAAAGCTTTTAAATGATTTTCCTTCACTTATAAGAGTTAAGATAGTATCTTTACAGACTAATCGACACCTAATCATGATAGATAAAGTTAATGTAATGACTATAAAAAAATCTGCAACACTATAAATCTTTCTTAAGCTTGAACTACAAACTTCAAGATTAGTGAAGTTTTCTTATTAATGACAACAACTGAGAAAATAAAATGTTTAAATTGAATTTTGCAGCAACACACACTGATCACTTATGAAAAAACTTTTGAAAATTCCAACAGCGGCTATTGCGGTGACAGCGCAATAACAGTGGATGGAAATCATCTGCGGACGTCAGACGGCAGGCGAGTGCCGGCAAGCAGAGCGGCTGCTAAATGCCGCAAGAGCGGTATCTATCCCGCTTGCACCACCGTGTTCCGCGCACCTCTCGCTCGCGCCGGCGCGAACACGTGTTTATTTGTATGTTTTATCCTTCGGCGGCTTTAAACCCAGCCCACCCTGACCGCAAAGTGCGCTCCGCCGCCCGCCGCGCCCGCGTCGTCGCCGCCTCTCGCCACCGCTCGAGCCGCACCGACTCACCCGCGAAACTTTGTCCGAAGTCGACGGGCGCGGACGTATCCCGTATTAATAGCCACCGCGAGCGGACACCGCAACCGTACGAGCTCATACCCATCGAGTCTCTGACACGCAGAGTCGCATCACGACCGCGCGCTACGACGCACGCACCTACGATCCTATAACGCGCGTAAACAGAAAATCAAATTCCGTGTAAATTTGATAAATATTAAGTGATAAATATAAATTAGTAGTAACTCAGTTCGCGACGAAAGCGAAAGGCACGTGCGTACAATCGTAAATACGGAGCGCAAAAAGTGCCGCCGTCATTGAAACTAGTGAAAAGTTTTCCGCCGCGCGCGGGGGAGACACCCCTCTGTACCGAAAAAAATCGGCCCCTCGCGTCCCTCTTCCGCCCGCCGCCGAACCTTTCATTCAGGGAAAAAAGTGTGGCAAGGCCGTGTGACGTCACCGCATCTAGTGACCACGCGTTCGTTCCCTAGCAACGTGTCGCACCTCGAAAGAGAATCTGCAAGGGTGCATCTCCGCGGGTGTACGATGATGACGACGAGTGACATTCCTTCGTTCCAGTGGATGTGACCAGTGTGGAGTGCGAAGTGCGATGTAGCGGTTGCGGACACAGTGGACTCTATGTGCAGCACGCAGCGCGCGCGGGTGTCGAGGATGCACCTGACGGGCGCGTCGAGTGGTGCCGTGTCGCCTGACACTAGCTCCACTCTCCTCCACGAAACATACACGAAGATGACTTCAGATATTCTAGCGGAGAGGACTCTGGGCGATTTCCTCTCTGAACATCCTGGGGAGCTGGTGAGGACAGGCAGCCCGCACTTTGTATGTACGGTCCTGCCCCCACACTGGCGGTCAAACAAGACCCTGCCAGTCGCCTTCAAGGTGGTAGCCCTGGGAGACGTTGGAGACGGTACGCTGGTGACTGTGCGTGCTGGTAATGATGAGAATTGCTGTGCAGAACTGCGGAACAGCTCAGCGGTGATGAAGAACCAAGTGGCGAAATTCAATGACCTCAGATTCGTCGGCCGTAGTGGTCGCGGTGAGTGCTGAAGGTGCAGTTATTGTTACACGATAAGTATACACGGCTAAGAAATACAAAATCACCTTTTAAAATTTCTATAAATGTAGTACAAAATATATATTAAAGTTTAAAACTTAAACATACAACATGATAATTTTGCTAGCTATAACCACACAACGACTTATGCGTATATTTATTATAGGTGCTCAGTAGGTCCAAATACTAAATGGAAGTAACCGCATTGACAATTCAAACTGAAAACACTTACCAAAACATCGTAAATGCAAATATAACATTGAAATGTTTAAAGGAAGTTGTAAAGTGGGGTAAAACTCACGACATTGAGAAGAGAGCGCAACTTTTTCCAAGGTACTTAAGAAGTTTGTGAATGTCAAATTGGGCGGGATGGCCAATATAACCGCCCTTGTCGCCCGCCCTTCCTTAAGAAATTCACGTGGACGAAAGAAAAAGTTGCAAAGAATAAAGTTTTTGGAAACTTATTTAATGTAGAGTTTTTTGGTTTTCATTTAGATTTGTTATGTTCATACGTTTTTCGGTCTATAATAATACCTATGTCTAATTCTAATATTTGAAACAAATCACTCTGCAAAACCCGAGTGTCTTACTATATTATTTATTAAATATTAATTAAATATAATATTTATTAAATATTAAAATATATTTTTCATTAAGTATATTTTTATATGACTATGTCGGATAGCTTTCGCGTCATATAAATAAATAAATATGTTGGAACATTACACAGCACCATCTATTTCCATGGTAAGCTACGAGGCTTGTGTTATGAATACCAGATAGTTGATACACTACACACATATAACTTTAAATACATACATATTATAAATATGAACTCATGACTGGAGTACATCACACAAATGAATGCCCCCAGCGGGATTCGAACCCGCGATTGCTAGCACAGCAAGTAGGGTCACTACAAGCTGAGCCAAACGTGTCGTCTATAATATAAACGTACAAGGGTACCATTACCAACCATTACTATCATAAACGATCCGTTTATAAGCTTTTCAAAATCAGAATTTAAGGAGTTTTGCGAAATCAAACATGTTTTCTAACACCCATATGTATTACTTAACCCTAAATATGTTCCGTTGATAAACAAAGGTTTAATTATTTATGTAACGAAAAATAATTAAATTTAAGCAGTAGACGAAATTATTTTGTGAATTAATTAAAATCAAGTGCGTATAGATTTTTGAGTAGTATGGAATAAGTTATTTAAAATTTAAGAAAGATTTTGAATTTTGTTTTAATTTTTCTAGTAACCAGCTAAGTAGAGTTTATAATTGCCCTATTGATATGTTTGTAGATTTACGAGATACGCGTCAGTGATTCAAAAAACCAAGAATCTATCTCGGAGGGTCTAAATCCGGGTAAAAAGGGGTTCGTTCGAATATTGTCGTCGTAGTTATTCGTCAGATATTAGAAAAGTTGGAAATTTTATCTCATAGAAAATAATTAAAGATTTTTAACAATGATTCCTAAAATTAAAATAGCTATAGATTTTAGATATATGTAGGTATATTTTGTTTTGTTTGTCCAAACTGACTGATCATTGCTTACACCAAACCTCTGGCCACAATCAAAACACACAATCGTTCACGACCAAATTTTAATCTCATATAACTATAAAGATATTAGATGACCGCTGATTTTTTTTTTAATTTATCTTCTAAAGAAATAAAAACAAGCGTTTCCATTTGGAAGATTAATAATAATATTTCACAGTACAATTTAAAAAAGCAACCAGGCAAAGCCGGTTTCTGCACAGTGCCAAAAAATAGAAAATATAAGATAATAATACGCCTATAATAAAATAGTAACAAAGCGAAATGTGTATATGAAATAATGTTAACAACATCAGTTACATATCGTGTATTCTACTAAAATTATAAATGCGAAAGTTTGTGAGGATATCTGTATGTCTGGATGTATAGATGTATGCATGCTTTTTACTCTTTCACGCAAAAACTACTGAATGGATTTTAATGAAACTTTACAATAATAAAGTATATCTCAAACATTAGAATAACATATAGGCTACTTTCTATCCCGGAAAAATGTACGGTTCCCGTGGGATACATATGTTATGATATACACGATGTGATGTGATATGGACCCAAACCAAGTTGTAGAAATTTTTTGTATGTCTGTTTGTCTGTTCGCTTGTCATGCAAAATATATTTTACGAATTTTAACAAAATTTGGTGTAGTGATAACTTATTACTCAGGACAACATTTAAAATACCTTTTACTATAGGAAAATCTCTCATTCCTACTTAAAACACAATAATTAATTCAGCCGAGTTTGTACTTCATACAAAAATTTCATTGATTCATTGCAAAATGCAACTTCTTTATTTCCTGAGGTATAGGTATTCATAATAACTATATTTATTTAAAACATACCTAGGGACGCACTTGAGCAAAGCGAGGGAGAGTCGCTAGTGTCTATATCTATATCTATGAAAACAGATTTAGGTCTGTCACGCTTAATAACGAGAGTTTTATGTCTGTCTGTAGTATGGACATTGGTATATGACATCCTGTGAAAACTGTTTGACTAGGTACAAGATGTTATTATAAATTAAGTTCACTTATTAAATACTCGTAAAATTTAATCAAACGTCATCAAACTTTGGCAACTTTGTAACAAATTGAATTTTTTATCTTTTATTTGATTATTTTTTTATATATGGTAATATCTAAGTATAGGTGGGTAGGTACGTATTCTTGAATTCGAATTATATACTTACAGACTGTTCGATTACTGTGTTACGCTTTTTCAGATTTCTATTGATATTAAAAATTAGGGTTGGGCCAAAATTCGTTTTAAATTCGCTTTAACCAAATTTCAACAGCTCGAGCGGAACTTTGGCATTCGGACGAAATTCGGTTTGATTGCTGAACTTTTGGCACTAGAAAAAAAACCTACTTGCACTATTTTGATTGAAATTAATAGAAAGCATGTCTGTTATAACAGTAAAATAAAATTAAGAGTATATATATATATATATATATATATATATATATATATATATATATATATATATATATATACTCATGCTCATTTATTTTAGTCAGGAACATGTAAGCTTTAACTCGTATGCAATAAAAAATTAAATTAAATTAGTTCTTCTTAATTTAACAGTCTTAAAAATCTTTGCCTTATTAAATAGACAAAACGAAATAAACTTAGTATTCTTCTAAAAAATATCTTAATTACAATTCTTAGTGTTATCAAATTAAGAATCTATCTACTCGTATTTAAAATTTATTAGAGGCAAGTTATGGTGTAAAAACACAAAAGACTGCCTTATCTGTCAGAAGCCTGTTACGTTTTTACTAATATATGTTCCCTACCTCTGAGAAAAGTCTTAAAACCGAAGTTCGGCCGATTTTTTTTTTCACCGAATGTTCTGCCGAAGTTCGTATTCGGTTCAAGCCATGTTCGGCTCATCTCTGATTAAAATCCTTTATTTTCATAGCGTAAAAGCTATTTGTAATAACGTAGTTAAAACTGCATTTACACTGACATTAATATGAAATATTTTTTGTGAAACATACTATCTTATCATGTAAAAACTTCTTTTTTACCTCGTTCGGGTAAAAAGTAGCCAGTTAACGTTAAAACTAACTTATAACGGTTCGGTTTAAAAAGATTCATTGCAAATGAGAGAATAAAAGTCTCATTATAGGCAGATATACACAATTTGATCATATATTTAGTATCTAGTAACACATGCTCCGTAATAAAAATCTCTTAGTGCAGTAACAGATTCTACCATATTTTGACGTTCTCCATATTTTATTTGGTCATGGGGTCATGTATGGGGTAAAGCATTTGAAACTTCAGGAATCGAAAATCAAAATAATACCGCAAAAACATGAAAATATAGTTATATTTAAAATTTTAAATATTCGCATAAATCTAAAGTTTTAAGAGTCAACCATATATATCTTTTTATACTAGCCAAAAATATTTTTTACCCATCGTTTAAGAATCACATTCACTATATACGTTTTCAAGTTAATAAATCTTTTAAGTTCTTGTTCACAAGCACACTTTCTAAGAACTAGAAAGTTCGTTTTGCAGTATTATGGTAAGAGATATTATAGCATGATATTATGCTAGAAGATTTATGTAATTACACCTAAGGATCAAGAGTGTTCTAAACCACATTCCGGCCTATGAACTACATCTATTTAAAAGATATTATATTATAACATCAAATACATACAAAAACTGCAATGTAAGAGTATACTAATATGTAAAACCTAAGAATTTGGTTTTCGCGGTCATCTGATCGCGGGCGGAGCCGCGGGCAATGCTAGTTAATTAAATAGTATCGTCAAAAGAGTTTGTAGTATATGCTAACATAATCTATGTACAATTAAATTAAAAAAAAACACATATTATGTTTTTAGTTAAGTTATTGTCTATACTAAGGTATATAACAAGATAATAATTAATATTATTAATATTGTTCCTCTCTCTTAAGATGTGTAATACTTATGATGTGTATTATACGTAAATTAAACGCTTATTTCTTCATAAGGCTTTAATACTACCGTTTGACCTAACGCGGTTTTGCAGGTAACTAGATAATGCACAAAGCGACTGTCACGTGACGTGTAAGCATTAGGTCGTAGTCCTGTCTAATGGATAAATAACTAATAGGATAGGCTTGCTTAATGTAACTGGGATATGTGTTGAGGTCTCACTGTTTAGCTTTAGTGGAATTGAGTATGGATTATAAGTTTCTACATTATGTACACATGTATTATTATGTAATATAATAACAATACAGCGAGTTAAAGCACTGGTAGTCCAGTGGTAACGCGCTCGCTTGGGAAACCGAGTGAAGCGGGTTCAAATCCCAGGTCTCGCACCTCTGATATTTTAATGTACGCATCATTTCTAACATGATTACCACTTGCCTGACGGTGAAGGAAAACATCGTGCGGAAATTTGCATATCTGCGAGAACCTAGCAAGTTTTCGAAAGACATGTGAAGTCCGCCAACCCGCACTTGGCCAGCGTGGTGGGAGACCATGCCCAGCAGTGGGACGTTAAAAAGGGCTGAAAACAACAACAACAAAGCGAGTTAATTTAAACGTGGTAATATTAAACACATACATATGTAGGTACCTATATAAAAATTTTTTTATAGTTTTATGTTCTCTCTGAATCTATATAAAGAAGAAATAATATGTAAAATCATCTTTGCCTGCATTACTTGTAGTGCTATCATTAATTTTAACATAGTACAATGAATGTTAAAAAATAATATTAAAAGAATGAATTAAAAAAATACACGGATTCATCGTTTGTCATGGAGAATTCCAAGGCCTTTTGCCTTTTAGTGGCAGTACCAATATTTCTATTGTCTATAAAAAAACTTTATGGAACTTGTATTTCTGACCCCTAAAGTAAGTTAGTTTACAATAGATGGTAACAACTGTACGCATCCAGGACAGTTATGATGAGTTAGTGCTTATTAGGGTTCTCCGTAAGTTTTTATATTGGCATGTACATTACTGGCATGTACTATTACATATCTAACTGGTACTTGTTAATTGGAAGTTAAAGCTTTGATTCTCATAAGAGGTGAATTTTTATACTGATATTCAGACCGTAGTCCCGAAAAAATAATGCTTAACATCTGGTACTGCGACTCAGCTTCGATTATTTTTAAAGTATCAGCGTGCTCAATGAAAGTTCTCTTTGCTTTTAACTGACACTACATTTTCTGCTTAAAAAAATTTGTATGAGTGTTTTTGCATATTAGGGAATAAATTTGCTATCCCGTGCAAGCTCTTTTCTTTATCGAAAATAGAAAGTAGTCTTTAACTTTTTTGCCGAATTCTTTGAAGTAAAGTATCGATTATACTCTTCTATTATTTTTCTTGGGAAAAAAGTAGTTAAAGTAAAATATTAATTTGCCAGTTAAAATCCTATTACAAAAACAAACAGACAAAAACATATTTTTTAAGTATATTGTGCAAACCGTCACGTAATTTAATATGGGACAGGTATTTCGAAATTACGGCTTTGATATTTAATTATTACTTATGAAAATTGAATAGTTTCTTCACAAAATGACACAATAAACAAGCTGTTCTAATCAATATGTCTCAGTCATTGAACTTTTGGTATCAGCTGAGATGAAGGCTACACAAATGTCGGGCTGATTCCTTCTGATAGGGGACGAGCCCTTTTGCGGGACGCCACGTGCGTTGACACGTTAATATCGTTGAGGCTATAAGACGGGGTTGTTGTGGAAAACGTGAGTTAAAAGCAAAATAACATATTGGATTAAGATTATAGTACGATTATTCAGATTGAGTAAAAGTTGATTGCTTATAAAATCCTATTACCTATAATACTTTCTTAGATTTACGCGAATGTTTGACATTTTTAAATAAATTTATCTTTTCGGATTATTCAGCGGATTTATTTTGATTTTTGGTTCCCGACGTTTCGAATGCTTTACAGCATCCATGGTCACGGAAGAGACTGAGGTTTTACATGTCTTGAAGGTATAGTTGTTACAGACAGGCTACCCACAATTAACAAAATGAAAATGGCGCCAATTACATTACAATATTTTTTAACTTTAAACATTTTTATAATTTTAATTATAATTGAATATGGAATATTATTTATTTAATTTTTGCTATTATTTTTATAGTTATTACAATTTTAAAAATATTAATTAGTAATCTATAATTAGTGTTGCCATTATTATATTTATAACTATAAAGAAAAATATAAAATATAGTATTAATTATTTAAGCCATATAATTGTTCTATGTGTAATTTAAAAAAGTTAAAATTAATTAAGCATAATAATTTTAATTTAGTTTGCTATTATTTAAAAACAACTTACTAAGCAACACTATTACTATATACTTTTACAAATGAAAAATATTAATCTGATAAGCTGTCATTTTGATCTACACAGTAAGAACTTACTACATCTACCTGTCTGTTATGTTTATATTTATTATTTGATTTTATTATATTAATAACAGGATCCCATGACGATGGTAGTACCCAGCCATCTTCCCTATTGAAATTTGGATGTTTTTTTTAATTTCTATGGCTTCTCGAATCATCTCGAAAAATATTGTAATGTAATTGGTGCAATTTTCATTTTGTTAATTGTGGGTAGGCTGTCTGTAACAACTATACCTTCAAGACATGTTAACACCTCAGTCTCTTCCGTGACCATGGATGCTGTAAAGCATTCGAAACGTTAGGAACCAAAAATCCAAATAAATATGCGAAATAATCCGAAAAGATAGTTTTTATTTAAAAATGCCTATTACCTATGTTAAATATACGTAGGTTTATGTATTAAATTGCATATTCTTAGTAGTACCTTATTTGTTTTGTTATATTTATATTACAAAACCAATAAGATTATTAAAATTATAATACAAGCAACATCACAACAAATTACCAGTTTCTTTTAAAATTTTTGATATTAAAAACTAAAAACTATTTAATATTTAAAACAGTTCTATTTTTAGTCACGTTTTTCTTTCACCAGTTCTTCTCAGGACTAAGGCATTTTCTTTAATAACAGGTAGACCCCCATGACGTTTAGTAAAAAAATGTAATAATTTAATATTGAATAAAGTTTTGAATTTAATTTTACAGCGCGCTTTTCATCCAGATAAATAGTTTTCTCTAGACGTAATGAAATCAAAACAAATATACAATAGGTAAAATCAAAATATATTGAGTATTGTTAATGAATTTAGATACATAGATAGACTATTGCTATTGATAGCTATTGCTTTCTATAAAAACGTAGTCTAGACACATCTGTCTCATTTTAAAGACCTTAAAAGTGTCTGCCTACTACACCGTCTCATACCATGACAGTGCTAGGATCGTGTCAGGCAAAAAAATATTCTTCGTTTTGAAAAGTGTGAGACTCTGCCCACTAGACCGTTCCGTCACCGGACCGGCACCGGACCGACACTAAAGAGAATATTTTGCCTGTGCCGGTACGCTGCGTGCCTGGCACGCGTCGTTGCGGGACCGGTGCGCTCAGGCGGCGCAATGGTGAGCATACACAGCACTAAAATCGTTATTTACGGGTATGATACGCTGATAAGTTCTAGTGGGCATAGTAGTCCGTGCCGTGCTCGTTTTCGTGCCTGATACGTTCATAGCACGGTAATAGTATGAGACGGTGTAGTGGGCAGACTCCTTAATACTAAACTAGCAACTTATACTCGCTACACTCGGATGCGTCCCTAAATGTCTTACTACCATACATTTTATTACTTTATCTCAAACTACTTCGGCAGCACATGCCGATGATACAACTCAGTCAGGTCAGTTTTTTCGATCTTCATTAAAGCTATTATTATTTCTGACAGTAAACACATTTTATCGCACTAATAAATAGCCATTTGGTATAATTTCCTATTATTTAAAGAATTTTCATTCAATGAAATTGAATTGAATTGGGTCAACTATTTCAGAGAACACCCCCTACATCCAAACTTACATACTTTACCTCTATATAGTGTTGATATACACAAAACGCTTGCGTATATTGAATTCTTTGGACCCTTTGTTATAATAAGCATTTCTTATTTTTTTTTATAATTTTCTGAATTTACGGATACCGTTCATTATAAGAAATTATACATTCAAAGTTTTTGTATCCGTAAAGCCTTATATGAAAATTGAAATTAAAACATGATGGCTGAAATTTTAATACTTGATAGATATTCTAATCTATACTAATATTATAAAGAGGAAAGATTTTTTTTGTTTGTTTGTACTTAATAGGCTCCGAAACTACTGAACCGATTTAGATCAAATTCGGTAAGAAGATAGTTTGAGACCCTGGGACGTAGGTACATGGAATAGTCTTTATTCCGTAAAACATCCCTTAAGGGGGTGAGAATGGGGATGAAAGTTTGTACGGGGAAGCAACCTAGGGACGATCCCGAGCAAAGCGCGGCTGAGTCACTAGTATTGAATAAAATTATCATTTAACACTTCTAAAAATTTTATTAAAATCATATAAAATTTAATGTAAATATAAAATAAATCTAAATCGAAATTCAACTTCGAAAAAAATGAACACATTTTTAATTAGGTCATTTTAAATTTTATATTGTTTTTCTTTAACAGTAATTTTAATACTTCTGAAATAAAAATACAAGACAAAGAATAAAAAGTAATTTACTTCGAAGCTTTTAATCTTTAACGACTTCAGAGTAACATCGCTTATACACTATATTTATGGTAATAGAGGTAATGGAAGATTCGAGAAACAAAAAAAAACGAATCGAAAACCACATCGAGAAGTTTCGCGCAGTGTTTTAATCTGGCAATATTTCAGAGTTGTGCAAATGAAAAGTTGGTCTCGAAGAAGAAGACGGCCCGCCTTCCGCGCGCCAACCAATAGAAAAGGTCGGAAAAGCAACGTCTTCCGCGGAGGCGGGGCCACGCCTGCGGTCACACAGCCATTTGAATAAAATTTTTCCTTTGAAGAATTCTTTATGCGAATATATTGTGGTACGTTGGCCACGCTTTGATTACTGTTGCATCCCGTTTTATGAACGACTCGGATTTCGATGCACGCTTATTAACCAAACTCCGAACAAACATCTTAATTTTATGACATTAATCTCGTATTTAGGTAATAAAAGCGCTATTTTTCAATTCGCCAGTAAAACTGTAAACTGTTAAAGCGTGCGTAAGCGTGTTAAATTTAAAAGTAGAAAACGTGCTTGAGCGGTCGTGGGGAACACGCAAACATCGTGTAGATTGTGGCACGCACGCGGTCGCGCCGGTACAGGCCCTTGTCAACCATAACGCGGCCGCAGCCGGCCGGGTTAACCAGTTAACCGGCCCGGCCGACCCGCCCGCGCCCGGTTAGCCGCGGAAAACTACCATTTCATTTATGGTTGCCTCGGTTTTGGGGTAGTTGCGCTAACTAAGCGGCCCACAAGTTACATAACTATGCATTGTGGTGTCACGTCGGTTCACACTCGACATCATGTATTAGAAAGGCAGATTGATTGTTTTAACAGAGCCATTTGTTGCGTGAATAAATTTAAACGTTTAACACCGCTTTACCGTTGACATATTATGATAGTAAATATATCCGTTATTATAATTTGGTAGGAATTTAAACAGGAATGGCGTAATTAAATCTATTGAGATGTACTCAAGACGATGAAATACCTTACGAGTAGCTTACATCAGCATATTAATTCAGTCAATTAGCGCGCACGAAAGCATTAGCACGTCGTTACGTCCGACATCGTAGTAATCGCCGCGACTGACACGGCAAGGAGTGTATTTGACAGGTGTCAAATTGGATTGCATCTAGCTATTAGGAAATGTCGTCTGCGTCGTCTGAGAGGGCGACAGCGTTGTGTGGATATGCCTGTATCGAAATTGTATCATGATATGAAATGTACTTGTTAATTTGGCCATTCGATTGTATTATTATTAAATAGTGCACAACAAATATTACACAGGTTAAATGTTTTTAATAGAATGCCTATATCATACTCACAAGTTTTTGTGTTGAAAATTTTTCGCAATATTATTAAATTCATTTTCTAAACGGAAATATAGTAATTTATATACAAACAAAAATAAGCAGATAAACTTTAAAAGTTATGGCCATGCCTGCCAACAAATATGTTTTAATAAATAAATAAATAAATATGTTGGGACATTAACACACAACGCCATCTAATTCCATGGTAAGCTACAAGGCTTGTGTTATGGATATCAGATAGTTGATACACTACACATATATAACTTTAAATACATACATATTATAAATATAAACACCCATGACTGGAGTACAAAAATTCGTCATCACACAAATGAATGTCCCCAGCGGGACTCAAACCCGCGACCGCTGGCACAGCAAGTAGGGTTACTACAAACTGAGCCAAACGTATCGAAAACGTGTCGTTTTAGTTCATAAATATCTGTTATAAAAAATCTCTCGGCCATATTATGTTGTGTTATTTGGCTTATCCACGTGACAATTTCCAAAGGAGTAGATAACCGGGCTCTAGTTGTAGTCGCGAGTGGCGCACTAAGCGTGCTTGTACAGTTTAGTTCCTAATTGTTCCATATGTAACGCTAGTTTTAGAGTTAAGTGTTTAACTGGCTATTACTGTAATATGAAAAACATACTATAATTAAAGTGAGACAGTGAGTTTTGTAGTAAATTCAGTCCATTTATCTATGACTAGTGTTCATCTAGTGGTCGAAATTCGAATCATTATTGAAAATTTAAGAAATACACAGGAATAGAATTTGCCTATCTTATATAATATAAAGTAACTGTTTACAAAAAAATATCTATAAGAATAAAGCATGTCAGTACTAAACAATTAAAATTTTTAAAAACCCCTCTACGCAAATTAATTGTCATTTAACGATTACACTGTCACGCGTGAAGCACTTAATCGAATAATCATACGCCAAAATGCCTTACATCATTTTGGTAAAGAGCTGATACTCTTACACTGCTGGACCTATATTAACCAAACATAGCTAAGAACCATCGCAAGGAACCTGGCTTTCAAATGAAAAAACCGTATCGAAATCGGTCCATCCGTTTGAGAGCTACGATGCCACAGACAAACACACACACACACACACACACACACACACACACACACACACACACACACACACACACACACACACACACACACACACACACACACACACACACACACACACACACACACACACACACACAGACAGATATTGACGTCAAAGTTATAACACCTCTCTTTGAGCGTCGGGGGTTACAATATCATATATTGTAATATACAATATAATATTACAATTCACAGAGTATGTATTTCTATTGCTTATATAACAACAAACAACAAAAATAAATAAAAATACAAGAATTTTTTTAACGTTCTTAATCGACGTTACTATTATACGAACTTAATATTATACTACTTAAATAGAGTAAAAGTTATATTAATAAAAGGTCATGTATGATGGTACGGAACCCTTTGTGTGCGAATCCGACTCGCACTTAACCGATTTTTAATGAATATTTCGTTAGAAAAATAAATATACAAGAGGCGCCATTACAGCACTAAAACCCATCCAGACAATCTTTAGATGTATAAATATAACAAATTGTTAGAAAGCAAGGTGAATTACAAGAATCGAATAAAATACCGTAATTTTATGAATGTCCTTTTGGCGATAATTTAGATGTCACTGATACTAACGACACCTTTATCGGATCTGGTAAACTTAACTTAACTTAAGGTTGGCATTAGAAATACCTTAAAAGGCTAGATAATAAAGGTACCGGCCCTGATAGTTGACAACCTATTTAGCAGTCTTGTCATAAATCATTAGCTTACCCACTTTTATTATTATTTATTCATTAAATCATTAAATTCAGGCTTAATGCCATAATTTTCATACAATTTATTCGTTATTTATTCGTAATAAACATAACTTAGAGAACTACATGTCAATAAAAAAAAGTCTTAATCGTGTACGGATGCAAACTGCAAAGTTATTAACAAGAATTTTCCTGTTCTAAAATCTGTAACAATTAAACAATAGTACGGCTTCGTTAATAACTAATCGATTCAAAGGAGTGTCTGTGAATTTATATGGATGATACATATGGATGGGGATACCTGGTGGACGTCACGTATACCTACTGATTTATATAAAGCATATATTATTTGTTTCTCTCTCTGTTGGTATGGTGCTTTGCTCCGTTTCCTCTCTTCTTATCTATTTAACCAGAACCAATCACTATGAAAGGTTTTTTATACGCTTATATTATTACTTATATACATATAATATTGATAGGTACATTTTTATGTTAGCGAATAGTTTCAGCGTTCCACAAGGTTCCCATCTTGGACCTCTTTTATTTAATTTATTTATAAGTGATGATAAACGTGTTTTTTTATTTATATTCCATAGGTTTTTTTGTATAAGCAAAAAGTTCCTTTAAATCCCTTAGAGGTTGAATTTTAAAATGCTACTGGAATTAAGCACTGTCGTGCCAGTAAAATTCTATTCTTATAATATCTTGACAAAACTATATCTATCATTTGAATATTTGTATGACAGTGTATGCAGTTACTACTGACCTTAAACTCTATGATTTGCTACTTAATTTCTTCTTTAATAGACTTATTATATAGTCTTCAAATTATGATATATATGATAATATTAATAATACGATAAATATGATATATACAAAAAGAATGTGTAAAGGTTTTCGTAAAACAAGGGACTTGTCGAGTAATTGCGAAAACTTTTGATAAAAAAATTTCTACCCTTGCCGGGCGTTCCAGACATAAAAACCTTTACACATTGTTTTTGTATCATTAAAACTACATTATATTAAAAAACGCAAAGTTGAGTGCTAACATTTTGATTTCAGACCGTATTTGACTGGACTAAAAATATTGAAATAAAATTGAATACAAAAAATAGAATTTTAGGCAGATAAAGGTACTTACTCGTTTTTCAACTTACAATTTATCCATCTTTAATTAATTAATAAAATTCTTAATCGGCTTTACCAGCGACTTTGTTTACGTGAGTGGCTTCGTCAGTTTTAATGAAACTTTTATTAAACTAACGAATATCAATCCAGACGCTAACAAATGTGCAGATCAAGTTACAAAGTAAGATTTTAGACAAAACTGTGATACCTAATAGATATGTTAGAAATAGATAGATGTGTTAACTGATGATACAGAAATGGTCCACAATTTCTAAATCACTTAATTTATAAAAGAAAACGATATGATTATTTTTTTTACGATTATTGATCTTTAAATATATAAAGACAATTATTGCGATCCTATCGGACTTTTAGAATGGAAGAAATAATGTGTTTGCGCATACGCTTATTTATGCGCGCACATTTGAGTAGTCTCAGTAAGATAAATAGATAGATAAATACTTTATTGTATACAAAAAAGAAAAGTACAAAAGATGAATAGAAAAAATAACCTAAGAGAGCTCAGAGGTCCCTGTTAAAAGTGACAAAATTTAAACCTTATAGATATCCTACATCTAATTTATACACAGAATGTGGCGTGCTAACAGTTTGACAATTATTCATTGTTAATTTAATACTATCTTAACATGAGAAATCACCATATAATTATAACAATGCAAGTAGACGTCAAAACAGGGTTTGTGCTACGACCAAGTTTAATACTGCTTTTATTAATAAATATCAGTGCTTTCTGGGTCCTATGCTATACAATAAAATCAATCAAATTTTAAATATCTATTCAAAAAATAAATATCAATGTAAGAAGATCTTGGTATCCTGGTTACAAAATAAAAAATAAAAAATACGAAGAAACTGAGAAATTAATTGAAATAATAAAATAAGTGCTTTTTTTCTGTTATATTTTGTAGTCTTTAAAAATTCCTACAAAATAGTAAAAAATTTCATATAAGTATATTAATAATGACCTTGATCATAATAATCAAAAATAATAAATGATTGTTAACAACATTTAAAACAAAGAGCTAAAATTTAAACTAGTTAGATAAATTACATATACGAGTACATACCTTAATTTTTACAAATAAACAACTATAAAGATATAATATATAGGTACCTAAATACAGAAAACTATAAATAATGTAAAATATATCTAAATATTTCCAAATAAACAACTGTAAATGATATAAATTATACCTATTTACAAATGAACATCTACAAATAATATAAAATTGGTTAAAAATATATCATATTAAAAAAATGTCTATAGAAAAAGTTTTAACAAAATTCTTACGTAAAATAATTAAACAATATACATATTTTTTCTTAATGCTTAAACTCATAGCTTTAGTGGTCTAACTTCAATCATAACTTAAAAATGACACAATGGCGGTAGATGTTTTTAGTAAATTAAACAAGTACCTACGCTGATGTATCTAGAAATTGTTCTCATTGTATAACATATATATTTTTAGTATTATATTACATTTAATTTAAAGCAATAAACAAATTGCGTAATAGGAAGAGGCTAGCGTCTGAGATACAGGCTCGGCCTAGTTCAGACGTTAGTATACCTAAATAAAGATTGTGCTAATTATATAGTTTAAAAAATAAATGTCTTGTAAACCTTTTATATTTACGTCAATAAACGTATTATTATTATTAATGTAAATACATATTGTATTGCAACATATGTATAAAATATGAAAAAAAAATACAGTCGAATTGAGAACGTCCTCCTTTTTGAAGTCGGTTGAAAAAGAAGTGTCGTTAACTAAGAATCTTACTTTATTATAATCGTCTTTTAGTGTGTGTATTACTTTACTTGTTTTAGTGAAATTTAAAAAAATAAAAACAAAGTTTTTAGTTAAAAAAAACCTTTGGTAAAGGATTAGTGGAACCTTCGGGACGGTACAATTAATACCACAGATTAAAGAACTAGTAACTAATTAATACTAAATATATACAAAGCATTGAAGCATGATTTATAAGATATACCCTCGTGTCTGAAATCGGTCAGAAGGACATGATTATTATATTATCTATACATAATAAAATATTCATAATTTTTAGTGCCTAGTTATTAAACATCAACTCATATTATTATTGGCTGTGGCCGAATTTTATCTACCTGTTTTGTTTGTGAAACGGCTATGAACGTGATCAAAATGCATAATTTTAATTAGTCAAAATTTTATGTTTCATAAAATCATTTGTTCAAATTCAATTCAAATTCAAATGAAAAATATGTTACCCACATTTTTTATTATTATATTTAAAAAAAGGGTATCTAAAAGTTTAAAAGAACTACGTATGAAAACGTTACGAAAGTTTTAACTACGAGTAGGTAATAGGTATAGATACAAAAAATTAATATATACACAGTCCTTGAGGGAGAATATGATGTGTTCTCCCACAATGAACGTAGATTAAATGAACTAACTCTATCGATAAAGTTATAAAAATTCATTATTCTAAATTATATAGAAATATTAAATACAGAAATACAGAAAATTTGCGAATTGAAACTTTAAACTAAAAATCCACAACGCAATTCGACCTCATCAGTCGTGCCACTTGACCTTTCTGTTATCCACTAAGCAAGGTGTCTCCTACCCATACAATTAATTTTCATTTCATTTGCCAAAATCTGAGTAACAGAAAGTAACATATAAATCAATCGGGAAAAATAAAACGTCCGTCATTTAGCGTGTCACAAGGGGGTGTGTGAGGAAATTGTGAGCTCGTAAAGCGTGTCGTGCGCCGGTACATTAAGTAGGGGTTATTTATTTAGGCTCCGTGGCCGTAGCGGGCCGCGGCTGGCACCGGCACATCACTTGTCTCGTGTTAGCTATTTGTTTTGATTTTTTAATAACTCTTCCGTAACTCTTTGTAAGGATTTCAGCTTTGATTTGCGTGTTTCCTTGTCTTTTCCAATGTTCTTAAGTATTGAAAGTTTCGTAGGAATCTAAAAGTGCTGTGAAATGTCCGATGGAATAAATGCAAATGGTAGGTGTTTTATTCGTCTTTTTTTTAATTTTACTTTATTACGTATTTTTACTTTTACTTTTTGCTAGGTTTACCGAAGATTCTTTTTATATGATCCTTTATAATATACATGAATGCTTGAACTTGCTTTTCGCCTACCTAGCAAACCTTTGTTTTATGTATGTATGTATGTACATATATCTTTACTTTTGGAACGTTAAAATAAAACTGTAGGTACTGTTATAATAACGCTACTGTGCAATTAATAAAAAATGAAGAAGATCTGATAATTCCAAGCAGATTGAATTTTTTATCTATAAAGAATATGAAACATGAATTGAAAAATTCTGATACGCAAAGAATATTTAGAGTAATTTCCAACTTTTTATTAGTTAATATCATGTACATAAATGAAAATGGCTAACATAATCCATCTTGATTCAACCCAAATATCATGACATGGAACACGAGTATTCCCATAAGTGTTAACGATGTGAGCGCCTCTCGAGCCGCATTAATAAACTCCGATGGCCGCAACAAGCCGGTTCGTGTCCAACCTCCATTTTTAACGAGCACACACCGTGCCCGCAGAAAGTAGCCTACACATGAAATCACGTATGAATGAGGCTTTTTTTCAGTTTTTTCGCGTGTACCGAGCGGCGAGCCGCTTCAGGCCCCATTAAAGCTTACATGTCACTCGCCCGCCACCCCGCCCCCGGCCGCGGGTGGAAAAATCAGAAAATCGGTATTGGTTGCATCCCGCAGTGAGCGGCCAAAGCGCTCCACAATACAGCTTTGACGGACGGTCATTTAATATTAACTGTGGTTTTTCCGTAGATGGAAATGTTTTTTTTATTGCCGGCGTTACGCTGTGATGAAGTGGTCGGCCTGTTGTTTGTGACGCGCTCTGATACGTTGTGGATGAGTTGCTCTTTTATGCTCTCCACTTTGAAATGTCATTTCGCGTCGAGAGCTTATTTGTTTGGTATTTTGATAGTTGGCGGGTTATTGCAGTTTTGATGGCCATTGCTTTGGGATAATTTAATTTATTACCCGATCTCGTTACATAGAACAATCTGAACATTTACGTCGATTTTTATAGAGTTATTTTGGACACTGGCGAAGTGCAGTAACTGAAATTCCATTCGACATGCAAAAATTGAAGACAAACCTGCAATAAATTTTTAACTTTTCGAGCAAGTCATCAAAATTCAACTACAAAAAGTGGGCGCTAGCGAAAAGAGTAGCGACCACAGATTGAATTTATTGCTTCCACTCATTGCGAGTAAAAAGTTTTCACAAATATTTCACGACTTGATCGAATTCATAGTTGCGTTACATCGTAACGTATAACATTTTATTCATTTTAACTCCATGACGCAATTCGTTTAAGTGTAAATGAAATTTCATAACTAATACCATATTTAGTTACTGTAATATAATATTCTTTATTTTTCTATATGTACTTACAAAACTCCTGAGTTTTTCTTCGATGTCATACTTTACTTCATATTTTCTTTTGTGAAATGCTGGAAATACACATATTATTTTTGGTTCAATGTTAGTAGTTGTTTCTTACTTTGTTATTTTATACGATCGTTATACTATTACTTCATTTTTTTTTATTCATATGTATAAATAAAAAAAAAGAGATGAAGTAGAAGTAAAAATAAAATATATCTTTTTCAAAAAATTTCGAGATTAATTTTTAAAGATATTTTGTTCTGGACGTTTCAAACGCCTTACAAAAAAAATGGTCACGGAAGAGTCACGGGGTTAGGTTTTTCAAATCGTAAAAGTCATAGGTAGGTACCTATATCTTCGAATATATTTCAAATTGTAAATTTAAAGTAACGCTAATATGTTTTTTTTATTATAAAATACTTAAATGCCACTCTTATTTCTTTCAAATGATTGTATTTTTGTAAGTAGACATCGTCTGTAATCTAGCAATGACTTTTGAGAAGTCGAAAACCTTAGTTTAGTTAGGCATTTGGAGTGTTTCAAAATATTTTATAAATAATTATTTGTAATATAAAGATTAGCTCTCAATTATTATTTGTGGAAATCCAATAACTCTACCGTGGTTTCTGGAAGAAAACGCTTCATTCCTGAGAAGAACTGGCGAAATCAACACAAGGGCAAATGCCTTTCTATATCTGATAAAGATATGTTTATAAAATATATGAAACTCCATAAATAACAAGTATTTTATATACTGTAATTAAAATGTAATTTATATTGTATTCTTGCAGGCAAATCCTTCACTCTAACGATAACGATATCGACCACGCCACCGCAAGTGACCACTTACAACAAGGCGATCAAAGTCACCGTCGACGGACCTCGAGAACCACGATCTAAGACCAGTTAGTACAAAAAATTCCATTATTAGTATTATATATTATTTTGCTACATATTAGATAGTATAAAACTTCGTCGCTCAAGCCCTAACAAGTTTAAGAAAAATATAAAAAAGAGTATTTTGTATAGGTATTTTATAAAATTGTAAATATTTTGTTATAGTAAAGATTTTCGTTCAAGGTTTTGTTTTAGCATCAATAAATTAAATTAACACTTACACATATTAATCTTTTTTTTTCAATGAACAAGAAAAATCAGATTTTCGTGAAATTCAAAAACCAGTGCTTTATATTATACTAGCGAATTACCCTCTCTTCGCTCGTGTGCGTTCCTAGGTACGTTTTAATTTCTTGTGCGGAACCCTAATTCTTTTTTTAAAATATAAGTAGCCTATGTTACTAAAGAGCTGATGTTATAAAGATAACATTAGCTATCTGCCAGTGCCCCGTCCCCGCCCCGTCAAAATCAGTCCAGACAGACACAAAATTTTTATAATTGTGTTTTTCCTATAAGTACCGTATATAATTTTATATGCATTTAGTAAAAAGCTTATGCTTCGACATTACAAATAGATACTTCAATTATATTTAGCCGTATAGATAAACTAGCTTTTACATAGGTATATTTAAGTTTAGTCAACATTTCTTTTCATCAACTTCTTAATTTACTACACATCAAATAATTTACTTTAAATCTAGATTATAAAACGGTGCTTCCTCTAATAATGAGACATACAAATTTAAAATCTTACTATTTAACTTTTTAGGTTAAAATTTAAAGTTTTGCATATAAGTCTAGTCAAAAATAAAACTTAATCTACATTGTATTTGATATTGATAGAAAGTAAATATATTGTTGCAAAATTTAAGAACAAAAAGCTTTTTCTTATGATCTCTATACAAAGATATTTCATATTAAAATCCACTACGACCCCTTCGTAAATGAAAACTAAAACTATAATTAAATGTTTTACACTTTCCACGCTCCAAAACAAACAAAGGAAACCGCAAAGCATTTGAACAGCTCTCTAATGAAGATAATTTGTTATTAATTCAAAGATACCTGTGAAGTGCGTGTTTTATATCGTACACTGTTTATTTTGTATCTTTAATTATAAACATAAGTTTGTTTGTGTACGTTAGTATAGTTTTCAAATTAAAATATGTTATAACTAGCAACTTACTAGTAACTATTGGCTTCGCTCGGGACCTTTCTTAGATGCCTAATTATTTTTACGTATTAAAAATTTAAAATACCATTTAAAAGTGGGGCAGTGGTAGCCCAGTGGTAACGCGCTCGCTTGGGAAACCGAGTGAAGCGGGTTCAATTCCCGGGTCTCGCACCTCTAATATTTTCATGTGCGAATCATATCTAACATGCACTTGCCTTACGGTGAAGGAAAACATCGTGAGGAAACATGCATGTCTGAGACAAACTAGAAAGTTTTCAAAAGACATGTGTAGTCCGCCAACCCGCACTTGGCCAGCGTGGTGGACTATGGCCTGATCGCCTTCATATTGAAGGGAGGCCCGTGCCCAGCAGTGGGACTTTAAAAAGGGCTGAATACACATACACACCATTTAAAAGAGTATATTATACAGTTTACATACTATATTATCCAGTTAGGTACACTCTAACGTTATTCCAGGTCATAGAGAAGTTTTAAATTAACATAATTATTAAAGTAACTTCCTTTTACCATTTATTTATAGTTATATATGAAGGTCAAGATTTTTAAGAATTTTCCCATTTATTTAATTTTTATTTTTATTTATGAAAAAGTTACGATATTGTTATCGGACGATAGTAAAGTCCCATAGCCGGGTCGGGCGGCATAGGTCGCACGGTTATAACGAATTATCTTCGACCCCCATGCGGCTTTGTTCGAATTGATAACATCGTTACACTTTAAACTAAAAAAGAGTGTTTAATTGATTTTTCTATTATTGTCTATTGATCAATTATTGCGTGGAAGAATGACAAACGGACAAACAAAAACAAAATCACTTCAAATCTATACTTATTATAAAAATAAGTCCCCCGGCCGCGTCTTTCTGTCCTCCTGTCTGTCCTCCTGTCTGTCTGTACGCGATAAACTCGAAAACTACTGAACGGATTTTTATACGGTTTTCAACAATAGAAAGAGTAATTCTTGAGGAAGGTTTAGGTATATAATTTATTATGCTTTTATGTAAATTAGCTGAAATACGGCGACAAATGTTGAAGAGGTCGCAAAAAATCTCGCCAAATGGGAACTTTCCACGCGAACGCCGCGTAAACTAGCAAAGATACAGTTAAGTAATGTACTAGAGAATTCAAAATCTATAAAAATGCTACAAAAAAGTCCGCGATAGCATATCTCTATCTCTTACGGTTGACTTACAATAACCACTTTTATGTTAACATTTTTAATTAAAAACATTACGTTATTTTCAAAGTTATTTTCTTTAGTTCGGTATTAATCCTTATCCAAATGAATATTTTAGTTAGCTTAGTCATTTAATGCAGATTAAAATTGCTCTTTACACTAAATCAATCAGATGAATAGTTTTTGAGATATCGTTGTTAGAAGTAATTAGTAGCGAAACATTTTTAATGCTTGGCGAGCATTGAGATGCCTACGGCGAGTCCATCCCCTCTGCCCCGCATCGCTCGACCGCCTGCTCAAGCTATATAAACCGGGCGATGTAGCGCGCGATCCTAGGATACTTTTTACCGCGGGAAAATATCTTATTTCTGAGGAAAAATACAAAAACTGCAATGTAAGAGTATACTAATATGTAACACCTAAGAATTTAGTTTTTGGTCATCTGAACGCGGGCGGAGCCGCGGGCAATGCTAGTGTAATATAAATATTGCAAAAAATATCAGGTTCTTAATATCAATAAGTCCATTTTATATCTGCAGCGTAATTTATAATGCCACAGTTATATCTCTCCTATGATGATATAAAGCTTGGGTTTAGTATCGGGTAAGCAATTTAAATAGTTGGTAGCTAGGTGACGGTAACAAATGAAGGGACAAGGACTACTCGAATCACACGTAATGCTCGATTAATACGCGTCGTTCCTTTAACTACGAGTAAATATCGTCACATGAATAAGGTACAAATAGATTTTTGGTCTTTCAAAATTACATTTTATTTTAATATCTAAAATGTTAGTTAACGGACAAGAAAACAAAGGATTTTTTATATGTATGTATATTAAGCAAGAGTCAATACAATGCAACCCGTATATTGCATTGTGCGGTTACGCTACATATTTGATATTATTTCTGCGTAAAGTCTATTATAATAAATAATTTTGACCGACTTTATAAAAGAGAAGGTATACGACAGCATCGCTAGTGATTGTGAACTTTGCTTTGAACTTGAGAGTGGTCCAGAATTAAAAACAAAGAATTACAATTTTTAGTGTAATTTTAAAGTCAATGAAGATAGGTACATTATTATCAGTAGAAAAATAATTATTAATGATTATTTCAAAAAAACACTTGCTTAATATTCATAATTATTTCTGAAAAAAAAAACTTTACATTTGCATAAAAACAATCAAGATTTTCTTTATAATACTGATCTCCCAGACTTTAAATTTAGAAACTAATCATCTAATTCAACAAACATGCTATTCGAACTATCCCCGATGAAAAATGTAAAGGATCTGATGTCTGTACCCCTTCACGAGACGAATGTGAGGGCACAAAGGAAAGCTGTAATGAATCGGTTGTTTAATTAATTAGTCAAGAAAGGGCCGGGGTCGGGCGGCTTCACCCCGTGTGTGCATGCCGTGCATATTGATTTATTATGCCAGCCTCCTCGGCGATAAATTATTTAATTCTAAGTTCCGACGAGTTCCACATCCATACAAAGATGTGGGCATATTAATGGCTTGAAAGATTCCTTCTAAATGGTGCGTGTATAAAGCATATTATACATATTGTAAGTTTAGATTTTAAATATGATATATACTTTTGTTTTGTTTGTTTGTGGACAGAACTAGTATTGCCAGAATATTTTCATACTTGTTGTTAAAGCTTATAAAATTAAACCTTCAACATTAAAATTGAATCGAATCTTGGAAACGAATAAGTACTATAAGAAACATTGTGTTTTAAAAAGTCTCATCTTAACCTAAACAATAACAAATTACAACTCTATCATTTACGTCTATTTATAATTATAAATTTAAAATTTAAAAAACCCCCTAAGCAAATTAATTGTTATTTAACAATTATACTGGCACGCGTGAAGCACTTAATCGAGTAATCATAAGACAAAATGCCTTACATAATTTTGGATAAGAGCTGATACTCTTACACTGCTGGACCAATATTAACCAAACATAGCTAAGAACCACCACAAGGAAACTGGCTTTCAAATGATAAAAGCCGCATCGAAATCGGTCCCTCCGTTTGAGAGCTGCAATGCCATAGACAGACACACAGATAGACAGACAGACATCGACGTCAAACTTATAAAACCCCTCTTTTTGTTAAAAACGTACCTAGCGCCGAACCCGAGGGAAGCGAGGGTGAGCCGCTAGTGTATAATATTCTATTTAATGTGATTATCAATATTTTGAATGAATTCTCTTTGAATGTAACAAATATGAGTACTTATAATACAAAACACAATTCATGATCCTTTCTTATTACCCAGAAGACCGCGTAAATGATGGTATAACAGTGAATCTGCACCTCCCTATTTAACTATTTTTAACCGGACCGGGTGGGTGGCTCAGTTTATGGCTTTGCTGCGCAGTAGCCGCCTACATTTAATAATCGGGTGAACTATAAACGATGTTTTTCTTAAAGCATGGCTATTTCGGATGCACCAGCGCAGCAGACCACCCGCGTATAGTATACGTGTTTACTTTACTTGTAACTTAATCGCTTAGTTCACACGTATTGCGAGGTGTATCTAAGTTGGATGAAGTATTTTATTGATCTATACCTACATATAATAAAATTCTAACTAAGCCGAATCTGTACATCAAATATTTTT